GATCATATCCCCCCTTAATCTCCTCTAATCTTAATCTCCTCTAATTCAGTTCCTCTAATCTTTCCTCATAGCTGAGCTCCTCCATGCCTCTTATCAGTTTGGTTGCCCTTCTCTTCACTTTCTTTTTGTAAAGACTTAAAACGGTACTTATCCCAGACCATATATTGTTTATAAATATATTAAAAAGTAAGGGTCCTAACACTGAACCTTGGGGTACCCCACTAATAACACTGAACCTTGGGGTACCCCACTAATAACACTGAACCTTGGGGTACCCCACTAATAAAACACTAAACCTTGGGGTACACCACTAATAACAACTGAACCCTGGGGTACACCACTAATAACACTGAACCTTGGGGTACGCCACTAATAACACTGAACCTTGGGGTACCCCACTAATAACACTGAACCTAGGGGTACACCACTAATAACACTGAACCTTGGGGTACGCCACTAATAACACTGAACCCTGGGGTACCCCACTAATATCACTGATCCTTGGGGTATATCACTGACACCCCAGACCATTCAGAGTATGAATCATTAACCACTACTCTCTGAATACCATCTTTTAGCCAGTTTTCTATCACATTTACATACAGATTTTTCCAGCTTGTAGACTTTACCTTACACATTAGCCGTGTGTGGGGAACTGTGTCAAACACTTTTGCAAAATTCAAGTATACCACGTCCACCGCCACACCTCTGTCCATGTATACCACATCCACCGCCACTCCTCTGTCCAAGTCTGTCTAAGTATGCCACGTTCACCGCCGCCCCTCTGCCCAGGTATACCAAATCCACCTCCACCCCTCTGTCCAAATATACCACGTTCATCGCCACTCCTCTGTCTAAGTATGCCACATTCACCGTCACCCCTCTGTCCATGTATGCCACGTCCACCGCCACCCCTCTGTCCATGTATACCACGTCCACCGCCACCCCTCTGCCCAAGTATGCCACGTCCACCGCCACCCCTCTGTCCAAGTATGCCATGTCTATCGCCTCTCCTCTGTCCAAGTATGCCACGTCCACCGCCACTCCTCTGTTCAGGTATGCCACGTCCACCGCCACCCCTCTGTCCAAGTATACCACGTCCACCGCCACCCCTCTGTCCAGGTATAGCACGTCCACCACCACCCCTCTGTCCAGGTATACCACGTCCACTGCCACTCCTCTGTCCAAGTAAGCCACGTCCCATCGCCACTCCTCTGTCCAAGTAAGCCACGTCCACCGCCACTCCTCTGTCCAAGTATGCCACGTCCACCGCCGCCCCTCTGCCCAGGTATACCACATCCACCTCCACTCCTCTGTCCAAATATACCACGTTCACCGCCGTCCCTCTGTCTAAGTATGCCACGTCCACCGCCACCCTTCTGTCCAAGTATGCCACGTCCACCGCCACCCCTCTGTTCAAGGTTGTTCTCACCTCTTCACAAAAAGAAATCAAATTTGTTTGACAACTTCTGTCTTTTATTAATCCATGCTGTCTGTTGCTTAACATATTTTTTTACAGCAATCATTTTTCTACTGGTAATTGCGCGGTCGTGCAATGCTGTACCCAAACTAAATTTATGTCTTTTTTTCCCCACACAAATAGAGCTTTGTTTTGGTGGTGTTTGATCACCTCTGTGGTTTGTTCACATGAAAAAAACAGTTTTTTTGCTAGAAAATTACTTTGAACCCCCAAGCATTATATATTTTTTTTAAAGCAGAGGCCCTAGAGAATAAAATGGTGGGTGTTGACATTTTTTACGTCACACAGTATTTGCGCAGCGATTCTTCAAACGCAAATCATTTGAGTAACATACACTTTTTAGAATTTTAATGCACAAAAACACAATAGATTGCCCAATTATTTGATACAATATAAAAGATGATGTGACGCTGAGTAAATAGATACACAACATGACGTGCTTTAAAATTGTGCATGCCCGAGCAATTGCAACAAAGTACATACATTTTTATTATCGATAGGCAACGCTTTAAAAGCCTTTACAGGTCACCAATTTACATTTACACAGGAGGTCTGGTGGTGGAGGAGTGCTGTGGATGTTCTGAAGTCCGTTACCGGCGTATAGAGGTATCAAGATCACACAGACGGCCAACTTACTGCAGGAGAGTGCTGCAACACCCAATGTGCTATTTGACCTACCATTCAAGATGGTCATGGTAAATGATGTGGTGAGTGGGGTAAATTATGGTGGTAAATGATGTGGTGAGTGGGGCTCTGGAGGGGGAGCACTAATTGGAGCGCTTCGCACAGAGGATTACTATGGATAAGAAGATTAACTATTGTATCACCTGGTATTCACATTGGATGGGGATTTTTTTTCCACATTGGAATTTTTATATGTTTGCACATTGATTGGGACTTTAATATACAGTTGTGTTCAAAATAATAGCAGTGTGGAGTTCTATTAGTGAGGTCATTCATTCTTTGAAAAACAGGTGGCAATTATTGCCCTTATATAATGAAGGAAGGCAGCAAATGTTGTACATGCTGGTTACAGTGCATTTCTCTCTGAAATTCTGAGGAAAATGGGTCGTCCCAGACATTGTTCAGAAGAACAGCGTACCTTGATTAAAAAGTTGATTGGAGAGGGGAAAACATATAAAGAAGTGCAGAAAATGATCGGCTGCTGAGCTAAAATGATCGCAAATGCTTTAAGATGGCAGCCAAAACCTGAAAGACGTGGAAGAAAGCGAAAAACTACCGTTTGAATGGATAGAAGAATAGCCAAAATGGCAAGGACTCAGCCAACAATCAGCTCCAGGAAGATCAAAGAAGGTGTGACGTTCCCTGTGAGGACTGTTACAATTAGAAGACACCTATGTGAAGCCAAGCTATCTGCAAGAAGCCCCCGCAAAGTCCCACTGTTGAAAAAAAGACGTGCTGAAGAGGTTACAATCTGCCAAAGAGCACATTGACTGGCCTAAAGAGAATTTTGTGGACTGATGAAAGTAAGATTGTTCTTTTTGGGTCTAGTGGGCAGAGACAGTTTGTCAGACGACCCCCAAACACTGAATTCAAGCCACAGTACACTGTGAAGACCGTGAAGCATGGTGGTGCAAGCATCATGATATGGTGATGTTTCTCATACTACGGTGTTGGGCCTATTTATCGCATACCAGGGATCATGGATCAGTTTGAATACATCAGAATACTTGAAGAGGTCATGCTGCCTTATGCTGAAGAGGAAATGCCCTTGAAATGGGTGTTCCAACAAGACAACGACCCCAAACACACCAGTAAACGTGCAACATCTTGGTTCCAGACCAACAAGATGGATGTTATGGAGTGGCCAGCCCAATCCCCGGATCTTAATCCAATAGAAAACTTGTGGGGTGACATCCAAAATGCAGTTTCTGAGGCAAAACCAAGAAATAGAGAAGAACTGTGGAATGTGGTCCAATCATCCTGGGCTGGAATACCTGATCACAGGGGCCAGAAGTTGGGGGACTCCATGCAACACAGATGTACAGCAGTTCTCAGAAACAGTGCGACTACAACCAAATATTCATGAAGTCATTCAAAGGAAAGCAAAATCTTCAAACATTTTTCAGTTTATATAGTGAATGTTTGAGTTTGTAATGAAGAATACAAACACTGCCATTTTTTTGAACCGTCTAATATTCACTTTTCTTCAATTTTTTTTTAGAGGAACAACACAAATTTGATGTATTTTTCTTCATGTTGTGATTTGGAATAGAATGTGTCGTGTTCCCAATACATTTGTGTGGATGGAAATAAAAGCTATTAGAAGGATTTTCAGCTTTATTCACTTCTTTCCACACACTGCTATTATTTTGAACACAACTGTACATACATATTGTCTTTTTGCATACAAGTTCACTGTACATGTAGGTTGTTGGTATTGTATATTTACTATTATTTATTTTATAGCACAATTGTTGGTTGAGCACGCTGAGTATATATATTGGTTCCCTATTTATGATTTACTGTAGTCACTGGGCAGGAGGGATATATATGTCAGCACATAGGGCATTGTAGTATGTACACAATTGTGGGGACCCTATATGTAGTAGGGTAGTTTGTTTATTTATTATTTACTGTACTAATAGCACTGGGCAGGAAGGGGTTAACATCTGGGTGATCAAAGGGTTAACTGTGTGCTGTTTGTGTTTTTACTATGGGGCTGTTATGTGCTTTCTATTGTAAGCACTCTGCTTTGTATGGCTCTGCTATGCAGAGCCATACAAAGCAGTGTGGTGGAGCCGACAAGGGATAGATCTTTATTGTTTACATACAGTTCTCTCCCCCTGGCGTTATTACTCTGCGATCACTGGCTGTTGGCGAGTAATCACCGCCCGGGACCTGGTGATTGACAGCCGAACAAATCAGTTCATATAAATAGGAAAAACAGCCCCTCTGTTCAGTCCATAATCTGCATTCATCTGACGTTTTCTTCCACTGCTCTGGAGAATTCATTTGTCCAGATCCTGAATAAGGAAAAATTATGTTTACAGAATACAAGTATAGGCGGTGCCAGGACCGCGCCCAAAGCAAAGATTTAAAAGTTGCCCCTCCCCCCATAGTGTTGGGCCCACTTCCCACCTGTACATTCTATTGTGTTATCATACATACATTAACATGCTTTTTTTTGTGTGTGTGCTCTATGACTCCCCCCCCAAATGCATTGGTTCTGGTCCTATAGCACCCAAGATCCAAGTCTTGAGTGCTAGAGGACCTTGTCCCAGCACAGCCTGTAATTACTTGTTAAAGTGTTATTGAACCCAAATCAATATAAACGGTCAATACATGCTATATTGCATTTTTTTTTTCTGTAGATTGCAAAAAAAAACAGTTGATCCTGCTCTTCACTGTCTCTCCCTCCTTGTCTGTGCCCCGCTGCACCCTGAGATTGCACAGGCCAGCCGTTGCCACATATACATGCATGCTTCAGTTTCCCCCCCCCCCGGTGCACCCCCCCCTACCCGGAAATGCAGAATTGCTTATATATACGTAATTTTGCACAGCAGGCTCGCCCTGCAGCAGTAAATGTACTGCGGGCGGGCCTTAAGCGGTTACCCTGAAGTGTTAGCCAGGACAATTCGGTTGGTTGCAGGCTGGCTGGTAAGTGAGTTAGGAATTTTTGTTTGTTGTTTTTTGACATGTGTAGCCCTTCCATTTACTCTTTGCTGCAAAGGCCAGTTATAGGTTGAGGTGATTGCCATTTGTTTTGTACTGTTGGTGAATTGGCGAGATGAGGCACTGGACACCTTCTCTGCCAATGTGCTACTGTTGGGTGTCCAGTGTGTCCCTGTGCCTTTAAGGAGGGGTGGGCTATATATGTGCCCCAACTTTGGAGGCTCTCAAAATTTACAGATTTAGGACAGCAGTACACTGAGGTGCCATGATGTGGCCTCTGCAGCTTATGCATATATTTGCAAATGTGTGCAAACGAAACCCCTTGTTTTAACGTGAACTGTTAGACAGGTAATTCAGGTTATTGCAGGCTGAAGAAGAAGACTGAATCCATCTCTCACTCTTAGGGAGCAATGTTTACACTGTAGGCGGTTTATGACTTTGTTTTCCACGGTATACAATCACTGACCTCTTCCGTATTCTCCTCCGTCTGCATACCGGAGCTGATCCACCAGGTAGGAAAGTTCTCACTCTTCTGATATACAGATTATTATTGTATATATTATATATATTGGGGGCTGAGCTGTATGATGGAGATTGTATGCATCTTGTCTCCATATTTTGTCTTTTAAGCAAATGTTTCCTATCATCCAATCATTTCCCACCTTGTAGTCACATGTAATACTCGGGCTTACCAGCCATTGTTACATTCTACCTACATTTCATGTTCTCTGGAGAAGATTCAGGCTTTTTATTCACATATAGAAATTTATCTAAAACTATTATCGGTCCACCTAAAAATTATATTTTAGTTTTAGTAGGTGGAGTCTGTAAAGCTACATCAATTCCTGGCTCCTGGGTTGGTTTACCCACCTGTCTGTGTCACTGCTCCTCTTGTTACATCTAATTTAAAAATAAATAAAAACCCAGGAACTTGGCAAAGGGATGGTGGGAACCCCTCATAATGGGTACAGCGGGTGTACAGACCCGGGAACTTGGCACAAGGATGGTGGGAACCCCTCATAATGGGCACAGTGGGTGTACAGACCCGGGAACATGGCACAGGGATGGTGGGAACCCCTCATAATGGGCACAGCAGTGCCAGGATTAAGTACAAAGCATCTATGAGAAGACATTCTGGATAATAAAGATATATATCATGAACTGTAGAAAGACGATTTCAGATGTCTAGAAGAAATTAAATGGACCTGAACGGAGAAGTCTCATCTCTGTGAAAAGTGGAGTTCTCCCAGTGATTCTGGAAAGATCCTGAGCTGTACTTTTCTGTGATTGGTGGCTGTGGGGAGAATACAGCCAATCAGAGGAGAGGATATTGAAGGCAGGAATACTGGAGCTGGGAGTTGTGGCTGTGACGTGAGTGACAGAATCCTCCCAGCCAATCAGAGAAGAGGACCTGAGAGGCGGGAAATCCTGATGTGATCTCTGTGAGGGGGATCTGGGTTTAGCAGTTGCCAGGAGAATGGTACTTGCCTGACTGCATTGTGCCACGTTTAAAGTTTGGTGGAGGGGGGATTATGGTGTGGGGTTGTTTTTCAGGGGTTGGGCTTGGCCCCCTAGTTCCAGTGAAGGGAACACTTAAGGCGATATTTTGGACAATTTCGTGCTCCCAACTTTGTGGGAAGAGTTTGGGGATGGCTCCTTCCTGTTCCAACATGACTGTGCACCAGTGCACAAAGACATGGAGGAGCCAGTTTGAACCCTACGGACTAAGACTGGGAGGCCATTAAAGATCATGTGCATGGAAAGGCACACTCTGTAGAGCAGCCCCTGGAACTTGTATGCTGGATCGCAGGACTTTGCTAAGGAGCAGTGTATGTGGGAACTACATTTCCCAGAGGAGCTGGCGGGGATATACAGTGTGTGTTTATATATATATATATATATATATATATATATATATATATATATATATATATATATATATATAATATTTGTATTTTTTTTTCACACAAAAGCCTGGAAGACTGGACAGGAAGGGAGAGATCTAGAGAGAGGAATGTGCTGACTGCTGGAGGACCAGACCTGGCTGCGAAATTAGAGGGAGAAGGGGGTCAAGGAGAATCTGCTGACCTTGCTGTATTGTCCCAAGAGCTTCTCTGCCAGCAGGAGACTGGATGGAACACTGCAGGTGGGACAGGAGAGTGAGTGGAGGTTCCATGGAAAGAGAGAGACTGCCAAGATTCACCAGACATCATCCCTCGGGTGAGAGAGTCCCGATCATCATCTGAGAAAGGGGACACTGACATTTGCTCCACATAAGCTAGTTCCTTACACACATTTGCAGACAGGGCTGCTGTTAGAAACCACAGGACCCCATACAGCCAACCTGACAGTGCCCTCCTCTCAAAAAATAACAAACAAAACAGTTGACTATGCTTTAGTTATGAATGAACACAGTGAGTAATTGGTACCAGTCACTCATTGTGTTCATTCAGGAAAGGAAGGGGCTGGTAAATGTGATATATTTACAGGACTCATCTCCCAGTCTCCATCCTGAAGGATCCTATTGTGTGCTTGAAGCTGCCGGTGGGAAGGAGAGGAGGGAAGCCAGCAGCACTGTTGGTAGGGGCACACAGGGGGGGCCTGGGCAGCAAGGAGAAACATATGGTGCACAGGGAGAGAGATCGGTGTGGCAGGGGGGCCAATTACTGGAACTGATCCCCTGTATGTCTCTCTGCTGCAGCTAAAAGCCAGAGAAGAAGCTGCTGGTCAGAGAGCCATACAGGGTATCGGTTCCAGTAATTGCCCCTCCGCCACACCAATCACCCTCTCTGCCCCCTGCTGGCCTGGGCCCCGTACAGGAGGACTGGTGGTACCCCCTTATCCATGACCATGGGTGCAAACATTGCATATAGTTCTTCCAGCCTTTACTACTTGGGTACACCTACTGCAGCTTGATTATCAGTGGTGATATCAGGACAGTCATTCCACAGGCTGAACCATAGCAGTGCTATCAACACCATTTATTTCATCTCCAAAGAGACTTTTTCCTAGAGTGCCAATAGTCCAACATTCCAAAGGAGAGCTGTAATCCTTTAACAATCACTTCTGCCAGATCACATCTTATTGCCTTCATTTATTAGACACTTAAATACTTTAACCCCTCGCCTACCGGGCACTTTCACCCCCTTCCTGCCCAGGCCGATTTTCAGCTTTCAACACTCTCATACTGTGACAATTGCGCGGTAATGCAACACTGTACCCAAATTAAATTTTTATAATTCTTTTGAGAGAGATAGAGCGGTGGTGGTATTTAATCACCTTTGTGTGTTTTATTTTTTGCAAAACAAAACATTTTGTAAAAAAAAAAAAAAAAAAAGTTATTTCTTTCTTTCTGTTATAAAAGTGTGTAAATAAGTAATTTTTGTCCTTCACTGATGTGCTCTAATGAGGCTGCAGTGATGGGCACTGATGAGGAAGCACTGGTAGGTGGAACTGATGGGCAGTCACAGGCATCAATTGTGGGTATTCACAGGCATCACTGATGGGCACTGAAAGGCAGCACTCATATATGGCACTGATTGGAACTGTTAGGCGGCACTGATGGGCACTGATAGGCAGCACTGACTGGCACTGATAGGTGGCACTGATTGACACTGATAGTTGGCACTGATAGTTGGCACTGAATGGCAGCTTTGATGTGCACTGACAGGTTGCACTGATGGGGCTACACTGATGATCAGTGTACATGTCCCCTCTGAGGAATGCCGATTACCGGCTCTCCTCATGCACTGTCAGCGTGAGGAGAGGACTGCCAATAACCGGCATTTCCATATTTACATGCGATCAGCTGTGATTGGACACAGCTGATCACGTGACAGAGCCGACATCATTGGCTCTTTACTAAGATCGGTGAGGAGACAAAACATACTATGGTACGTTTTCAAAAGAAGTGTGCCATATTTTTTACCCCTTTTGAAAATGTGCCATAGTACGAAATGGGTCAAGGAGGAGCCCTGCACGCCATGACGTCACTGATAGTGACAGGTCTTTTGGATCTCATCTTGAGAGTTGACGGCAACAGATTCCAAACGCAAATAGCACACTTGAAATGAACTCTGGACCTTTTATCTGCTCATTGTAATTGGGATAATGAGGGAATAACACACACCTGGCCATGGAACACCTGAGAAGCCAATTGTCCCATTACTTTTGGTCCCTTAACAAGTGGGAGGCACATATGCAAACTGTTGTAATTCCTACACCGTTCACCTGATTTGGATGTAAATACCCTCAAATTAAAGCTGACAGTCTGTAGTTAAAGCACATCTTGTTCGTTTCATTTCAAATCCATTGTGGTGGTGTATAGAGCCAAAAATGTTAGAATTGTGTCCATGTCCCAATATTTATGGACCTGACTGTATCTCCTAAAGGAAAAGTCTGGCTTACCACCATCCTGTAACCTAAAGGAGGTCCATCTACCCCCAGGCTGTATCCAGGACCACCCTAAGAAGGGATCCCTAAAAGACCACCATTATATATATATATACAACGTGCTATTTATATGCGCATCTGGTGAGTACGCATTTTATCTACTTTCCCGCACATCCACCGGAGCATTACAAGTATACTGGGAATAATAGTGTCACCTGGCAAAAATCTTTGATGTTGATCTGAACTTTGATTACAGTCATTTGAACTTATTAAGCACTTTCAGAATTTTATGGTTTAAACGCACGTCTAGCCATTGTGCGTTTTTTGTTGGAGATATTCATTTTTATTTTCATATTTATGTTTATATCACCTTTAGCGCCGCACTATTATCTTATTGGTTCTTCTGTTGTTTACCGTTGGTGCAAGTAACAACTGATTTTGCACATGCCAATTCTGTTCTTGCTCTATGACCACAGCATATTGCAGTTTGTTATTAACTTCATACTAGTTTACTAAAAATCGGTGTGTGAGCTTACATTCTGGTGGTGATTTACTCCGGTTAGGAGTGTAGTGTGGTGTCAGGAGGGGTTGGACTTGAGAGGGGTCCAGAGCCACAGGGAGCCCAAAAATAATCCAGCAACTCCTAGTGAGGTAGTACTACATATGTGTATATATATATATATATATATGATTTCCCACAACAGTACAATCAGTCTGTAGATGCAGTAAAGCATGCTTGTTATACTCACTGTGAAACCTAAGGGGTTAATCCTCTACATTGTGTAAAAAGACCGTTTGATCCTGTCTTCTCTGATCCTCTCCTTCTTCCAGTGTCCCACTTTTATTTCCTGATAAAACATATTGTGTGGGGTCACTCTTCACATGCTTAGTTTGGTATGTATTGCTAGAGTTTTTTATGGTTTCCTTTTCTTGGGAGAGTGCATGGGATCAGCAAAGGGCCAATTAGCACTGTCCAGACAGAGGTCAGAGGTTCTGCATCCTCCTAGAGCAGAACGAAAACCCCTCCTACAAGCTTTAACCAGTGCTCTGCTGGACACTGATAGAAGTCACAAGACTGCTATATACTGCTGATGAGAAAAGGTATTTAACAGTTTATATTTACTACAATAATTGTATTTCCATGTTGTGTGTACTGTGGGAGAGCAGATATAGTGAATGCAGGGTCCGGGGAGACCAGATATAGTGAATGCAGGGTCTGGGAAGACCGGATATAGTGAATGCAGGGTCCGGGGAGAGCGGATACAGTGAATGCGGGGTTCGGGGAGAGCGGATATAGTGAATGCAGGGTCCGGGGAGACCGGATATAGTGAATGCGGGGTCCGGGGAGACCGGATATAGTGAATGCGGGGTCCGGGGAGAGAGCGGATATAGTGAATGCGGGGGTCCGGGGAGAGCGGATATAGTGAATGCGGGGGTCCGGGGAGAGCGGATATAGTGAATGCGGGGGTCCGGGGAGACCGGATATAGTGAATGCGGGGGTCCGGGGAGACCGGATATAGTGAATGCGGGGGTCCGGGTAGTCCGGATATAGTGAATGCGGGGGTCCGGGTAGTCCGGATATAGTGAATGCGGGGGTCCGGGAAGTCCGAATATAGTGAATGCGGGGGTCAGGGGAGACCGGATATAGTGAATGCGGGGGTCAGGGGAGAGCGGATATAATGTATGCAGGGTCCGAGGAGACCAGATATAGTGAATGCGGGGTCTGGGGAGAGCGGATATAGTGAATGCAGGGTCCGGGGAGAGCGGATACAGTGAATGCAGGGTCCGGGGAGAGCGGATACAGTGAATGCAGGGTCCGGGGAAAGCGGATATAGTGAATGCGGGGTCCGGGGAAAGCGGATATAGTGAATGCAGGGTTTAGGAACACTTTAATACATAGTGCTCAGCATAAATGAGTACACCCCTTTTGAAATGTAAGATTTTAATCAATATATATATTTATATTTTTAAAAATAAAGTTCCATTTCAGTCTGTATCAGGAAATGAAGTCTCAGACATCTTACTTCTTCTGGGGGATCTGGACAACCTAGTAGCCATTAGTCACAATGTATCTCTGTGTCTAGGTGTTCCGTGGCATGACTGGAATTCGGCTGCAAAATGAACTAAGAGCAAGAAAAAAAGATGGCGAAGAGTTGGAGAAGAGTCGTCATCATTCCTGGTAATAAGATCAGCCACAGCTTGTCTTTTATATATATATATATGATCAATTTTGACTAAATATGATTTTTTTTAAATTTTATTAACTTATGTTTTTGAAAAGTAATCCACTGCTAATACTAATAACTATCTACATAAGTGCAGCTGTGTTTTCTCATTACATGCACTGATCAGCCATAACTTAATGGCCACTGACAAGTAAAGTGAATAACATGGATTATCTCATTATAATGGCATCTGAAAGTAGGTGGGATATATTAGGCAGCAAGTGAACATGTTGTCCCTGAAGTTGAGTGTTGAAAGCAGAAAAAATTGGCCAAGCATAAAAAAACAAAAAACAAAAAGTGGAGTATCTGGCTGCTCGTCCCCAACATGAATATGGATAATAATAACCCCCTATGGGACTTTGATGCAGCGAACATATCTTCACACATGTACTCAAAAGAAACTCTTTTAGTCATATACTTTATTACATAAAAGGTATTAGTAAAAAGTACATTATCTTTAAAAACATTAGCTCGGATAACTATTGCAAGGATATTTTTCCTCACATTACAGCAAGGTAACATTCCCAAAAATTATCCTTACGCGTTTTGATCATTCCACTTTTTGATCTTCTTCAGGGGTCATAAATACAAAAAGAATTTAAGGGAATTGAGCAATCATAAAATACTGATATCCAAGATGAGACTACATAGTCTGAGATTCAATGGTGTAAACCATCGGAAGGGCAAGGGTGGTCAAATATCCATTTCATAGTACTGACGGCAAAGGGAGAACACAAAATCACTCTTCATATCTATATAGGGCAAAGCCAATGAACACAATGAACTGAGATATTCCTCATTCTATGGTGAAGATGTGGTTAGTCCCAATGAACCAAAAACTGTATCTAGCTATTTTATCAAACTGTCCAAGTATAGCATGGGGGACCACCTTCAAGCAAGAAAGCATACAAACACACCTCCCAGCCTTCTGAAATTGTAGACAAGGGATGCCTTTTAGCACACAGTAGGTAGGCAAAGAACATGGTCCTGCTACAGCCCTGGCTACACCAACCACAAAGATCTAATATGCAGATAAGTGCTTTTTTGACCTCTATTTTTTCTTTATATTGGCAATTCAAAATAATAAATGCAGTATTATAGAGATGAATCATTTAGTGCAGCATAACACTTTTGGAAGTAAAATAGTACATTTTGTACTATTTTGTATAGTTGTATATAACACATTTATGTACGCAATTTACACATCTGACAATTGAGGCTGCACTACAGACAAAAGGATTTGGTCTCAACAGAGGGACAGTCCCTCCAAATGTGAGACAATTGGGAGCTATGTGTACTTTAACAAGAGCCACATTGTAATGGTTAGACAGTTGGCTCAGAGCAACTCCAAAACTGCAGCCATTGTAGAATATTCCCAGACTCCATCGGTGTCCTTAACAGTGTCTTATCTGCTGTCAGCGAGATTCCCTACTGACAGCAGAATGTAAACAAAGCCATGCCAGTTTAAATTTTTTTTTTTTTTTAAAAAACAGCGTTGGGTTTCTCCTTAAATCCATACCAGACCCTTATCTGAGCATGCAGCCTGGCAGGCCCGGAAAGGGGGGAACAAGTGAGCACCCCTCCGAACCGTACCACATGCCCTCAACATGGGGGGAAGTTTTGGGGTAGGGGGCTCCCCCCGAAGCGCCTTGTCCCCATGATGATGGGGACAAGGGTCTCTTCCCCACAACCCTGCCTGGTGGTTGTGGGGGTCTGCGGGTGAGGAGTTTATCGGAATCTGGAAGCCCACTTTAACAAGGGAGCCCCAAGATCCCAGACCCCCCCATGTGAATGAGTAGGGGTACATGCTTGGATCAATACCATGCTTGTATAAGAGCCTGGATAAGAGTCTGTTATTGATTTGGAGGGGGGGGGACCCTAAACCGTTTTTTTTTAATTTTATTTTGGTGTTGGGTTCCCCTGAAAATCCATACCAGTCTCGAAGGGCCTGGTATGGAATGGGGGGATCCCAAGCCATTTTTCCCCTAAATTTTCATTGCTAGCAATTCTAATTTTTACATTCAGCTGTCAATGGGGAAACCATTGACCGCTGATGAGTCATTGGTTATTAAGGATGCGGTGGCTGGCCCTCTTCTTAAATTGGTTGTAATCTCTTTTTTTTATTTTTACCTACAGGTAAGCTGTTAATAAATATATATACACTCAC